TATATATATATATATACATTTCCGAATTTTTAATTTTCCTTTAAGATTAAAAAAAACATAATAATTTTTAAAAATTTTTACCTAAATCATAAATCTCATGTAACACCTAGTGGTGAAGAATTCCTCTATAACAATTTTCTTTCATTTGGGCTCTAGGAGGAAAAAATCCGAGTCACCATTCTTATACGTAGCACGGAGTACCGAAAAATATTAAACTTAGACGAGGTAGGAATTAGCCTTTTTTTTTAATTTTGGGAGGTTTTAATCAAACCTTATCAACACTTAATGTGAACTTTTCCTTTCTGAGACAGTAAAAAGCGTTGCAGCATCCTGTGCGTTGTGGTGTTTTGTTCGAAATGCTGCTTGCATGATTTTTGGTCCATTATGGTGCGTTAGACAGTTCATTTGAAAGAATTGGCTGTCCTAACTGAATGTGTGGCGCTGTGCAGCAGACTGGGTTAGTGTCAATGAGCCCTTTAAATTGCGCAAGAAAGGACTTTGCTTCAGAATTCTTTGATTATTTTGAGATTTTGTTGTGCAAAGATCCTGTTCTGCATAGATTCAGGGCACCCCGTGCCCAATTCAGTAAAGCAGCCCCAAAACAACAGTGCTGCAGAAGCTAGGTGAGCCTGCATATTGTTGCTACTGTAAAGCCAGTCCACTCGGCACAAGAAGAGGTGGGCTGTCTCATCATGCTTACCATGATACTACCACAAGTAGGTTATCCTGTACTGGTGTAACCTCCTTGCCTCCACACCCATATTGGAAATGCATGTTTTGAACATTGTAAACCATTAGGTGCATGGTGGATCCTTGTTTTAGCAGGCATTCCAGAGGGAACTGGTTTTCAATCAGCACATATATCGTCCCAAGTACTCCTGGTATCAGTACTCGGCATTGGCGAGTACCGAAAGCAACATTTCCGTACTCGATACCGAAAAAAACGGTATCTGTGGCATCCATAGTTAAAATGCAATACCCAGTCCCAAAACTGAAATTTAGCACTTTATTCCCTCTTCATATCTTACTTGCTTTAGATATTGTTCAGCCAGTTACGGGTCAGATCACCACATTTGCTGCCCCTGTCCTGTTGTTTCAGTATTACAGTCTCTAATGGCAGAACTGCTCCTTTCAGTGTTTGTGTGAGCACCCCTCAGCCCACCTTGGTGACAAATACCCAGCCACAAATGAATTCCCTATACAGCCGTGGCTGCCAAATGCACATAGCTACAATGTGGAAATCTTCACTCCCTCTCGATGGAAGCAGTCACAAGCCAGATTCATTCGATTATGCTGTCTGGAAAGATAAATGCAATCCGCTCTGACTTCATGCCTTTATTTGAAAGTATTTGGCAGGCGCAGACTGATTGCTCGTCCTCTCCTGGCCTATATAACGTCCTGGAACTATTATTTACTTTTTGTCGGAACTCTCAGGCAACTTTTCTAGAATGCTCAGTGTTTGACGTTCACGTATACTCCCGGGATGACGATTGGTTTGGATCGGTTTTAATACTGAAGATGCTGAATTAACCCTGTGCAAACGGTTATACAGCCCTATATACTTCTGTTGTGTAGGGGGGTCAGTGACTAGACCTGAATCTGTAGCTGTGCCCCATATTGGCACTACGTCCATTAAAGAAGAACTCCAGGTAGAATACAACTAAACTATTGCAGTGGGGTTACACCCACACTGCAAGGGATAAAATGCTGGTGTTGGTCTAGGGCAGGGGTCAGGAACCTGCTGCTCCGGAGCCGCATGTGGCTCTTTCATCCCTCTGCTGCGGCTCCCTATCCAGGGGTGGATCTATCATCAGGGCCTCAGGGCCTGAGGCTGTGGGGGGGCCCAGTGAGGTCCGGTCTGGGCACCCCCCCCCGGTGGAATCTGCGGCAGTGCAGGGTCTACGTTGTGCTCTGCAGGGTCACTCTCAGGTGCTGTGCAAACTTTTGGCGCTATATAAATCCTGTATAATAATAATATACTCACCCAAACCCCTTCCCTTCTTCAATCTGTATAGTAACATTCCCCATCATAATGCCACTTTTGAAAGCCTGGTGGCTTTTAATCCTGAGTGTCACTGATCGCTCCGGTCCTCACTGACAATCGGGAATCAGAGTTGTTTTTGGTCATGTGATCAGAGTTGGCTATGACAGTGATCACATGCAGGCTGGAGACTTCATTACCAGGAAAAAGCTTTCAGCCAGTATACAGGTGAAACTCGAATAATTAGAATATCGTGCAAAGTTCATTTATTTCACTAATGCAACTTAAAAGGTGAAACTAATATATGAGAAAGACTCATTACATGCAAAGCAAGATAATTCAAGCCGTGATTTGTCATAATTGTGATGATTATGGCTTACAGCTCATGAAAACCCCAAGAACCCCAAATCCACAACCTCAAAAAAGTAGATTATTACATGCAATCAATAAAACAAGGATTGTACATAGAACAATATCGGACCTTTGAAAAGTACAAGCATGCATATGTACTCAGTACTTGGTTTGGGCCCCTTTTGCAGCAATTACTGCAATTACTTTTGCATGATATTCTAATTATTCGAGTTTCACCTGTATGGCATTGCAGATGCCACTGTAGCCTGAAGGTGGGAGCGTCCATCTGTTTAATACTGTCATTGTCAGATACGATTACAGTATTGCATAAATGATAGAAACCAAAATGTGAACTACTGTGACTGATAAGACCCTACAGTATATTTTGGATATTTTAGGAAGTAGGGCTGCATACAGGATACAAGGAATACTGGACCCCAAAACAGCCATACACCTTAAAACAAAACCTAAGATGTCACCTAAAAAAACAAATGGCGCTCTAATTTTGTGTCCAGTTTTGGTTATTTTTAAATGGCTCGTTCTAACAATTGATTGGTGAACGTTTTCTCTTCAGCTGGTTGACGCATTGAAGACGGTTCCTCTGTACCAGGTTCATGTTGTGGATTACAAGTACAGGTACGTGGACTCAAATTTTACCTCTGACCATTCTTAATGACCCGTGTTCAGTAGTTCTGACAGAAGAGAATTTTGGCTCGCTTTCTGTAATTATCCCGATTGCTTGAAACACATTCACTGATTTAAAGGTGTTATAGTGGCCTCCGATATGACTTTGTTCACATATATTTATGAATCGGTGAATGTGACTATCGGGGAGCATGAGTTTTAGAAATGATTTTGTATTGTGTATGTTAAGTCTTGCTGATGCCATTGCAGTATTGTGGAGGAGCTATCTTTCTATCTATAGCTCATTACCTGCTCGGGGTGATGGGTATGCATGGAAAGAGAAGCAGAGTAATTGCAATGAGCCACTGACAGCTCCTTCTAGTGAAGAATCTACAAACCTCTATTTCAGTGGCGGATAACAATCGCCATAGTGACCCAGGCGGCCGCTATGGGGCCCGGGGCACTTGGGAGCCCGGACAAGACGAGGAACAAAGGGGTCCCCGTGATGCCGTGTGGGTTGCTATGGCATCGCAGGCTGCTGGCTTTCACTGGTGGCTGTGAGGAGGAACGCAGCGCTGTTCAGATCGCTGACAACCTGTCAGTGATCTGTGCAGCGGCGCGTTCCTCCTCACGGCCGCTGCTGAGTCAGTGACCTCCAACAGTTGTGGAGGAGGAGGCCATGGCCTGGCGTTAGCAGCAGAGGAGGAGGCGGGTCCTGCCAGTGACCGAGGCGGACAGCTGATCGAGGCTGACAGGTAAGACATGTGCAGGGGTATGACCAGCCCACCTGAGACCCTGCAGAGCCTAGAGAGTCTATGGTGGGCTCTGCAGGGTCACTCTCAGGTGTGCTGTTTGGATATCAGGTGGGCTCTGCAAGGGGCATAACTAGAAATCACATACAACATTTTGCTTTGGGGCCCTGTGATTTCTAGTTAGCAACAATAATGACAATATGCTCGCTATATATCCAAACCCCCCCAAAAAAGGGTCTGCTTTTAGATATACAACACAGGTGTATACTACTGTCGTTAACGTGGCCTATGTCAGGCACTGTAGTGTACATCATTGCTGAATGACTGCTGTGAGAACAGCAGTTGCAGGGTAAGCCTCCTTAAAGATATCACTATATCCATTGACAGTGTAATCAGAATCTTCATAGCAGAAGTGATTGATCTGTTTTTTGTTTTTCTCTTAGATCTCTTGGATTCCTCGAACAACTACGGATCACACATAATTCAGATATATTTATTGGGATGCATGGGGCCGGCCTGACGCATCTGCTCTTTTTACCAGACTGGGCCGTTGTATTTGAGCTGTAAGTGTGTTTTCTGTGTTGGTAAAAGAATGTACTGCATGCCAGGAAAAGTAAATGGGAATTAAACACACCAAAACACACTAATATACATTTACAATGTAGGTTTATCTTTGTACCTCGAAAATAAATTAGATAGGTCATTGCTGAGATTGTGATCCATGCTGCACCTTGTGTACAGTTTCTTATGGAAGCGAGTCAGCCAGACGTCCTCACATCACACAGTATTTTCTTTTTACGTATCTTTTAAATGGCTTTTATTTTGAATAAGAGTCTTTTACTAGCCGGCCCTCTGACCATCTTATACTCATCTACCTCCGTGAGTTATACCCTGTATTGGAACTCCCACAGGGTTGATGGCGTCACCTTCTGATATTAGTGATTGGCTTATCAACACTGCATGCTGGGGAGATCACATGGTCCCTTATACCTGGAAGCACTGGGTATTTGAAATGGGTCTAATGGCACAGTGGTGGGGAATGGTGAGGATTAGTTGGTGGGACGGTGGACTAGTAAGAGACTCTGTCACTTTGCCCTCACTGGGATGATTCAATGGGCAAGGGTTATTGGGAAAAATGTATAAACCTTCCACCCAGCGCAATGGGGGGCAAATGCCTTCACTTAGCATTACCACCACTAGATGGTGCCAAGGAGCATAGCAATTGCTATGTGATTCTCTTTGTATATTCAGCTGGGAATGCTCCGTAGAAATCGCAGGAGAGGAGTGAAACAGGAGCAGCCCCTCCTCGTCGCCATCTAGTGGCTGTAATGTCATGCGAAGAACATTCACCCAGCTTTATTCTGGGTGGAAGGTTTATACACGAACCTCATGGTATTCATATATGCATCTAAACTCCGCTTTCTTTCAGAAATAAAAACGTGTCATTGCTGGGAGTACGATCCAATATAAGCTCCGCCACCATTTCAGGAACTACTGACAGCAATTACTGAGATTGTGATCAATGTCTGCATCTAAGCTCTGCTTTCTTTCAGAAACGAACCCTTTCAGAGCTCACCACAAATGTGTGTTACTATCTGACTGTACAGTCCCAAGCCCTTGCCAAAACTTTCATTTGTAACAATCAATGGATATATTTTCTTGGCAGATCCAAAGTACAGTCAGGTTGTATAATGTGTGTGGTGATAGCAGGCCATTGCTGAGATTGTGATCCATGGCTCACCATTCACTGGCTATGTGGGAGCTGATTTTTTTCCTCAGCAATTCCATAAGAACAAGGAGCAGTTGTCAAGTCTATATTGCCTCTTGCAGTACGGGATTGCTGCAAGTGTGGACCCCAAATATACACTATGGAGGGAATTTATCATAGCAATTATCATAGCAATTCAGTGTTTGAACTTGCACTGAATGTATTTGCGCCAGATTTATGATGCTATGTGTATGTTGTTGATAAACAGAGGTTTAATAGACTCCATGAATGAAGACTCGTAACTTCAGGCAAAAAGCTACACTGTCACATCTTGAAGAAGTGGTCATGGGGACTTCTTAAGTTGTCATTGTTTTCTTACGTGATGCTCCAGTTTCAGACAGCCGCAGGACAAGTGCAGATGAAAACCGGTACAAAAAAGGTGCAAAAAACATGCAACTGAAAAAGTAGTGCAAGCTCTGATGAAAACGGGTGCAAAAAACATGTGCAGTTGGAAAAGTAGTGCAAGCCAGGGGCAGACTGACCCATCGGGCACTGCCCGAGGGCCCGCGGCCAGGACGGGGCCCGTCACCCAGGGCCTAAACTAGGAGGGGGGATGTGACTGCCCGTGGACTCTAATCCGGGCGGAACGATCAGGGTCGCATCGACCGGACCCTGCCGTTCTGTCACTTCCCCCGACATCAAAGAGACAAGAGAGAGGGAGTGAGGCCGCTCCCCTCAGCCAGCAGCGGCACACTAATCGAAGGGCATTGCTGGCACTGGAGAAAGATTAAAGGCTGCATGGCTTTACATGTGGTGTGGGGGTGTGTGGATGGAGATCTTCTCCCGAGAAGGGGGGAGCAACTCTGAGTTTTTGCCCCGGGTGACGAAATGTCTAGCTTCGCCACTGCCGTCACCGTCCCTCCATCTCTCCCAGCTATCCCTTCACCCACTTCAAGCCCCACATTGCGTAGCGTGGGGGGCCCGAGGGGTGCTGCGAGGGCCCAGTGAGATTCGGTCCCGGCGCCCCACCCCCCACATTGGAGGTGGCATGGCTCTTTCCCCCCAGCCCCCACAGCAGCCGACCCAGTCTGCCTGTATACAGCGCAGCTCACATTACACAGCATTCTACCAGCCAGTACAGATCTCCACTGCCCGCACATCACCCCTGCTGATCCTCCTCATCTGCCCCTCTGATCCTCCACATCTGCCCCTCTGATCCTCCACATCTGCCCCTCTGATCCTCCACATCTGCCCCGCTGATCCTCCGCATCTGCCCCTCTGATCCTCCACATCTGCCCCTCTGATCCTCCACATCTACCCCGCTGATGCCCCTACTTAGAGTGTTTGCATCTGCCCTTACTGAGACCCTCCATCCGAGACATCAGGCTGGCTCGCGGAGCAGAGCGGCAGCACAGAGTATGTAGCAAATTCATATACTCTTCTGTATTGATGTATAATGTATTGCTGTGATTTGTAGCCCTCTATAGCGGATGGTATTATTCTGCATTGCTGTATAATGTATTGCCGGGATTTGTAGTCCTCTATAGCTGGTGGTCATTGGCAGAATTGAAGAATCTCGGTCAAAATATCCAAACCAGAAAAATTCTGCCAATTAGCTCATTTTCCAAATTGTCTATATTATTGTAGAACTGGTGATTCAAATTCTTCTACCAATTCCCCTGCAATTCACGTTTTAGTGAAATAGACCTGCTATTTTGAAAATAGGGAGGAGAAATAATTTCTGGAACACAAAAATGTATATGTGAGTGGGCCTTGGGGATGAGTGGGGATTGTGGGTGGATGTGGCCTGTATACTGGCCGGAGCAAAAGGGGCCCCATAATCTTGCATTGCCCGGGGGCCCCTTGTGTTGTCAGTCCGCCCCTGGTGCAAGCTCAGTTCAAAACAGGGGCACATGTTGAAAAACAGATTTGCACATAAAAAAAAAAGATCTAATAGGCTAAAACTGTCGCAATTCCCCCCTATGTATAATTCCCCCCAAGTTCCTCCCTATGTATACACAATATTTGGACTGGGAAAGGTTTGAATTTTTCAGATATTAAGTGTGAGACTTGCTACATTGTCATTTTCCTTTTCTTTGGAGTTCTTCACATTATTCATATTTCCTAAACCATCCTAACGTGACATCTAGCAGGAGAATGTCTAATACATATTTATAGATTCTTAAAATAAAGCAGAAAGTTTGTTTCCCACGAGCCTTGTGCTCCGGGGTGAGTCTGGCACCCAGGCAGACCAGATCTGTCTACTCACATGTGAAGATTGCGATAATCCTCTGGCATTAATCACAGTGACGGGGCTCCTTCTCCATGAATTCAGTAATGGTGACGTAGTGCAGGTATAATGTTACACTATAAATCTTGTTTTATGGGCAGTTATGGCAATAAGGGTTACAAGAGATATATTTAGTCTAGTTCAAGAATTTCTGGGATGAGTCATTGCCGTTTACCCATAATGAGCTGGATTTATGAATTTAGTTCCATGTACGGGTCGGCCCATTAAGGGGAATTTCATAGAAAATATAGATCCTCCCCCTTGCTTGCTGTAATATTGAGGTGTCCCCACTTCCAACAGATCTCTAGTAAAATATAATAGGATCCCTAGTCCTGGTAATTGTTGGTTGTGGTAGATTTCCTGTAGAATGGTCATACACTATATGGACAAAGGTTTGTGGAAAACTGACCACACCTATATGAGCTTGTTGGACATCCTGTTCTAAAACCATGGCCATATATGCCCCCCAACCTCCCTAGTGGTTATAGCATCCTTCACCGCTCTGGGAAGACTTTCCATAAGATTCTGGAGTGTGTCTTTGGGAATTTGTGTCCATTCAGCCAAAGGAGCCTGTGTGAGGTCAGGTACGGATGTTGGACCAGAAGACCTGGCTTGCAATTGGTGTTCCAGTTCATTCCAAAGGTTTTCAGTAGGGTTAAAGGAGAACTATGTCGGGATCCGCTTTAGCTGCAGCGTCTCAGTATACCGCAAGCTACATCTCGTGGTATACTGAGCCTAGGGTGACGGGAGGACGCTAGTTTGTGTCCTCCCGTTACCCTAAGGAGAACCATGGGGAAAAGCCTTAACCCCATAGTTTTTTTTAAATTCAGTTTTTATTAGATTTTCAGTACAAAGAATACAAACAGTAGGAAGAATAGGGGGCAACACGATGTTAATAGAACCCAGTCGGGTACGAGGGATTGATATTAAAGAGTCACACATTCCATTAGGGACAATCACTTGCCCCTAGGAGGCAGTAGAGTATAGGGCCCATGGGAGGGTTTCCTAAAGCGGTTAGGCTCCTCGGACCCCAGCAGCCCGAACAATCCAAGCTATGGGTCCGTTAATTACAGTAAAGACAGGTCGCAGGTCATATTTCCACAGAGGGAATTCTCGCGGTTTACAATGCGAGGAATGCCGCAGAATCCATATACAAAACCCAAGGGGCCCTTAAAGTTGCGCATTGAGGTTGATAGTCCCCCAAAGAGGCCGTCAGCTCTTCATAGCGCATGATCAGGCACAGTTCAGCAATTCACTCCCGCACGGTCAGGGTTAACCCCATAGTTCTCCTTTAAGGACAGAGCGCTGTGCAGACCACTCAAAGGTCCTCTACACCAGACTGGTCAAACCATGTCTTTATGGAGCTGGATTTGTACAGAGTGGAACAATCATAGTGGAACAGAAAAGGACTTTTCACAAACTGATGTCACAAACAGTTTGGAGGTGTCCACATAGCTTTGGCCATATAGTGCTGGTGGGATGGTCAGGTCAGATGTACACAAACTTTTATATTGTGTATATAAAGAGGGGGTTGTTAGAACATAGATATCGGAGCTTCCGCTGCTGACTTGCATTTAACCATGCAAGCTCATATTTGTTATCCTCATACTTTTGTGTTGCTTTTACATCTGCTCTCCTTTTTATGGGCAGGTCAGTAATATGAATGGTATGGATCTTTCCAGGTATAACTGCGAAGATGAGAGGTGTTACTTGGACTTGGCGAGGCTTCGAGGAGTTCACTACATCACGTGGGAGAAGGCCAACAACGTTTTTCCTCAGGACAAGGTAAGTCTAGGAAGAACTGTAAGGATTGGAAAGTACACTCTTTATATGCTTGATCTATATACTGGCTTCAGAGGTACCCCAGGAAGAGGAGATCCCCCTAGCGGAAACATATATGGTAGTCAAGTTCTGACTAAGGTTCTCACCCTTCTCCCTGCCTTTGTGATGGGAGCACAGGTACTGGAGAGCTCCAGGAAGGTCCTCAAAGCCTCCAAAGGCAAGTGTAATGTGTAGTTTGCATTTACTACTGTGGAGCCTTTCCTGAATGTCCCTCCGTTTGTTAGCAGTACTCCCACAGTTGCCCACTGCAATCCATCCTGGTGCATGGGTTGTATTGTGATGTAGGCAAACTAATGGGCATTAAAGAGAACCAGTCATGATGGGGCTTATGCAGGAATCTGAATATTTATTTTAAAATTATGATTTCTATGCTGGTTAAGTTATGAATTGTTTTATTTATCTCCTTATCTTTCTTTTTCTGGAGACAGCCCTGGAGATCTAGAGAGACACCACCGCTGCTGCTCCGAAAACCTACCTGACCTCATGTGGATAACAATACTCATAATTAGGGATGCACCGATACCAATACTAGTATCGGTATCGATGCCGAGTATTTGGGGGCGAGTACTCGTATTCGCCCAAATGCTCCGATGGCTAGCCCAATACTTCCTGTATCAGGAAGCCGCGCAGCACATCATTGCATGCTGCCCGGCTTCCCGATTGGCCGGTATGCCGACTCCATTCTTCCTTAGTCACTTGTGACGAGAGAGCATGGAGCCGGCTTCCTGGCCAATCAGGGAGTCGGGCAGCAGGCAATCACTCGCTGCCCGCCTTCCTGATTGGTCGGGAAGCTGGCCAATCAGAAAACCGGACGCCGTGAAATGACGCGGCGCCTGTCTTTCTGATTAGCTGGGAAGCTGGCTTCATGCTCCCTTGTCGCCTCATGACGAGGGAGCATGGAGGTGGCTTCCCGTCCAATCGGGAAGCCAGGCGCCGCGTCATTACATGGCGCCCAGCTTCCTGATTGGCCACATGGGGGCTGCTTATCGGCTAATCAGGAAACCAGGTGGCGAGTCATTACACACTGCCTGGCTTCCTTAATGGGACTTCCGGTATTGGTATTCGGTATTGGCAAAAAAATATCAGTTCTCGATACCGAAATACCAGTATCGGTGCATCCCTACTCATAATAGTAACTTCTGTGTGTGCCTAACAGCTTCGAATAACAAAGCCGTATAGTTCATGGGTTTGGGGAGGAGGTGCGGCGCGGAGCGTGTGGAGCTGTGAACAGGGCCAACTGATCGGAAGCCGATTAATCGATTATTGAAAAAGTTGACAACTTTTTCAATAATCGATTATAATCGATTATGTCGATTAGTTGTTGCAGCCCTACATTTGTTACTGTTCTGCACCACCAGGTGCTCAAAGTGTTATCAGTATGAGGTCAGGCACTTGACAGGGCAGCATCTATCAGTCTTTAGGGAACCTCTCAGCTCTGACTCCCAGCTCCAGAGTCAGCTTCTTACAAAGTCAGCGAATGTTCATAGCAATGTATGATGCTAAAGTGTCCAATAAAAAAATAATGTATTACCCAGCGAATGTTGAGGTTCTTGTGTAAGCCCAAATGTGACCGACTCGGTGCCAGCGATCACAGATTTTCAACAGTTATCTGAAAGTTGCCCGTTTCAGTTTGTGTTTTTGCATGTAAAACTACATTGTCCTCTCCTCGCCCATTGATTGGTCACACATTGGCGGCTACGGTGAGAGCATAGGAAAATTAATTGGTCATTAGTTCAACCTGTCAATAAGTCCCCTTGTGCCCCATGCAGAAAAAAAAGCGATCGATAGATCCTGGGGGCTTTGAATGAAAGCGATTTCTGTGCACAGAATGACTTAATTAACTTGTCTTAGTTGAAAAAAAACAACCCCCTTACCATACAGTGAAATGATGTTGTCTGATTAAGGGACATCACCCGACTTTGGGGGAGCATCCGAAATTCACAAACTACTCCTTCGACGTCGACGAATTCATGCGGCTGGTGGGCTCGGCTGCGGCTCACGTGTCCCGTCACCCGAAGTGGCCGTTTCGAAGAACGCGGGATGAACTTTGATAATGGTCGGGATCCAACATAGAACTTCTCCACCTTTTACATAACAAAATTATTTTATTCAACGGTAACTTATTTATTTATTGGTGTTATTTTTGTAATGTTGTCGATTTGATTGAATTTTTTAAATCGGAAGGGAACAGAATTTTTTTACCCATCATGAATCGCTTCCACAACGCACCTCACTCTGGCTCACTCACCGGAACATAAGCTGTCAGCGACGTGAATTGCCTTTTAGGTGTCGTGTTGTACTCGGCTGAAAGGCTTTATCGCATGAGTGAAGTCTGATAAGAGGGCTTACAATAAAATACAGCAGCTCAGTTCATTGTCACAGGAAGCAAGGATTCTAGAGATCAGACCAGGCGCACAAAATGGAGATTACGGAGTTATTTAAAGGGAAACTATAACAGTTTAGGGAACACCAGCCAGACATAAAAGACACATTTTTGCAGCTCTGTATTAACAAATCATTCGGACCCCATTCACTCCAAATCCATTAGCATCTGGTTTTTCAACGGATGCCAACGAAAGGTAACCCTAAAAATGCATGGGTGTGAATGGGGCCAGTTCACACCGCTGCAACCTGACAAAAAGACATTCTCTTTAACTGATTTTGTATTTTTTTATTTAAAAAAACAAATAAGAATTTCAAATTGCATTTTTAATTCTGACCCTAATGAATAAAGAAAGAAAATGATACGTAAACGCACCATACACAGTAAAAGGAGGCCATTGTGGATTTTCAGTGAATGAATATTTTGTATCAATTATCTGAATATTTTGTTGAAGTGATTTTGTTTTTTTTTACTTGACTGCTGTTCTGTATTTTGATTGGTGTATTTTATAATAAGATTTGTTAAAATTTTCTGTGATTTTTTCAATTTAAATACAATTTTTGATTAAAGAACCAGGAGAAAAACAATTAATGTTGTTTGAAATCTTATTCAAAGAGGGATGCAATGCACATAATCTGTTTTGTCGGTGAATTTCACAAATTTTTAGGTTAAGGTTAAGCACTCATTTTGGTCTAAGGGTGAAAATAAAGAAGAAATACTCGCCTGATCCTTGGCCCTGCAGCGGTGATGACTGCTGAACTCTGTCGCCCTGCGGGTACCGGTCATCCAGCCAGGCGGGACCAGGTTGTGTTAGTGTTTACTATGTCCCCCAGTCATGAATGAACAGGAAGTGATGTGTAGCACTTCCTTTTCTTTCATGACTTTGGACATAGTCAGCACTTAGGCTCTCAATGGTTAGGAACACTCAGTACAGAGGCTTCCTGTTCATTCATAACTGAGGAGGGTACTATGCCTCCTCAGTTTGTGAATGAACACGAAGCCTCTGTACGGAGTGTTCCTATCCATTGAGAACCTGAGTAAGTGTTTACTATGTCCCCAGTTATGAAAGAACAGGAAGTGCTACACATCCCTTCCTGTTCATTCATGACTGGGGCACATAGTAATCCCTTCTGAATGGACAGGAGCACTCAATACAGAGGCTTCCTGCTAATTCACAAACTGAGGAAGCATAGTACTCTCCCCAGTTATAAATGGACAGGAAGCCTCTGTACTGAGTGCTCCTGTCCATTCAGAAGGGATTACTAAGTCCCCCAGTCTTGAATGAACAGAATGTGTAGCAGTTCCTGTTCATTCATAACTGGGGACATAGTAAGCTTAATATGTCCTCCGTTATTTACAAGCACCGAGTGGTCAGTACTGATCGCCACGGTGTTTTCTCAGTACACAAAAGTATCACCATATATTTCACATATTTGCTGAATCTCCACTTGGCATCCTGAAGCTCCACCTGGCCTCACACAGCTCTGCACTACTCTCTTGGAGCGTGCAGTTCCAAGTGTCCCCTTCGATTGCCCGCTGCCTCTGCCAATACATGCGGGGAAGAGCAGGGGGGATCGGAGGGGACAGAGACTGCGGCATGCAGCTGGCTTCCAGCGAGGAGGAGAGAGCTGGGTATGGGAGGGCTGGCAGCGCCCCTCAAGATTTGGTGCCTCAGTCAGTTGCTCCACACACACACTCCATGCCCCTGCTTAAACTGAAAGGTTTAGCTGTGTAATAGACCCTATACTTATAACTATTAAAGCAAAATGACAGCCAAAAATAACAAGAGAAACATTAATAGCCCATGAAAAGATAAAGTAAAAATACAGGTTTTGCTGCAATACTCACTTTCTATCCAATGATGTCCATAGTGGTACCTCTTTTCCACCACTAGATGGCCTTAGTCTGACAACCAGCATCATTCAATTCACCTCCTCTGAGCCCAGGCCATCAGGGACCCACCCCCAGCCTGTTACTGCACCGTGCAATATTTCCCTTCAATCCAGAGAAGTCCTCCACAGTACTTTATTCTGCCACTACATGTCCTTTGTTCATATCAGTACATTAGTCCAGTATCATTCAACCCGTTTCCTCTGAGCCCAGGTAAATCTGCATCTGCCAACAGCCTGTGACTGGGGAGTTAAAGGAAAAGCAGCACAATTATGACTTCACCTCTGTCACTCTGTTCTCTCCTTCTATCGGTATGCTCCTTGTCTGCTTGTGCTGCTTCTTTCTCTCCATACTGGAATGGCAAGAAATGGATACCAAGGCAAATGCAGGTACGTACCCTGCCTGCAATTAAAATACATTACATCAATTTGTGTTTTTTATTTATATCTTCCCAGCGTTCAGCTTTAAAGTGATATATAAGTCAAAGGTTTTTCTTTTTGCTATTTGTAATGCTGATGGCAGTAGTTACAGTCTATTCAGCTTTTAGATGTTCACAATGTCTTCTTTGCTGCTGAGTCATATGGTCCCATTAAGCAGTGGACCAGTTAATGGTGTTAGGGTGACTCTTATCCCTTGCAGGGTCCTAAACATCATGGTCTTTAAGTGGATAATAGACATAAAAAAACAATGGATGAGCAAATTGAATAATTTGAAATAAAAAATGAAATGTACTGCTGCTAATGTGTAAAACCGATGAAGGTTTCAGCGCTGTTGGCTGCAGTTGTTTAAGTTGGTGACAGGCTCTCTTTAAAGATTCCACCCAATTAGTATCCAGTCGGGGAAACCATTGTTCAACAAAGTAGCGGAGTGATTTTGGTGGAATGGAAACCCTAAATTTCACTCATTGAGCTGCCTAGGATTAGCAAAAGGGAAATGATGGTTGCTATGGGTTAGGGGTTTTGACGCTTTGCAGTAATTGATAAGCCATTACATTGGGTGTGATGGGGGGGATACATGGGGATTACTCTGCACTGAACTCTATCACCCCCCAGGACAAGCTGAGCACTTCCGTCCCTCTCCTGCCCGCGGCCTCCGGAGTAAAATCATTTCACACCGTGTGTTGGAGTTCTTAATGTCTAAAAAGACTTCACGCTTCAGAATTTCCCAGCAGGCCCTGTGAAGCCATGACAGATTGTGGTCAGGCAGTAACCTTATTCATTCTCATATTTTCGAGCGTTTCCTGCGCCGTCTCACACTGGGAGTCCCCTCTACTGATCAATCATGAATCCCCTGTTAGGGGACGTAGATCGGTGGCTGGCATCGGCTTCATGAAAACCAGGTCAGCAGAAAATACAGAGTATACCTCCAGTGAGCATCCATCAATGCCTGGCTTTAATCATCCCTCTTTATTTTTATCTTCCATCTTATATATTTTTTTTTTATTGTACCGGCTTTCAAGGTGCAGTTTTTTATTTCTCTCAAAGCCAATTCTGTCCTGGAAGAATTGGTGTAGGAAAGTTAAAGGAACGCTCTCCAGACTGATTGCTGACCTCTCCTTATAAAAAATGCCTGTGGCCTGGCTGTCAGTGTGTCTTTGCTGAAGTACTTTTAGGGCTCGTACACACCGGCGGTTGCGTTGCATTAGCGAATGGCTATTCAATTAAATGCGTTGGTGCAATGCAGTATTATTTTTAATAGCACTCCAATGTACAGTGCAGCACATGTGTTGCAGTGCACGGCACTACTGTGCACTGCCAAAAATGGTGCATGGCTTAAATGGCATCCCAATGCACATGCATTGCCGTGTGCTGGTAAAAAATGGTGCATGCAATGCATGTCTGTCAGCAAGGTGCACTGGGGATCTCAACGGGCCTTTGCACCACCAGCACCAGAAGGCAGTGACTTAAGGTGGGGTAGAGAAGGAAATCTTGCTGCACTCCTTACCGGATATTCCCAGTGATAGGTGAGGATGCTTGTAATGACCGCGGATGGCACCGCTGTATACATAGATTGGTCATGAAGAATGTCACCAGCACACCGAAAAAATCCTTTCAGGATCACCAAATGTTAATTTTATTGAACAAATCGTCAAAAGTGACGACAAGCGCTTTCGGGGCCACGCAGGGTCCCTTCCCCAGGCTCAAACATTGAGAGGTGGGGTAGTGCGGACTGCAGTCTTCATCATGGGGGGGGTTAGACTCCAATAGCAGCAAGCAGGTGAACCCGAATTTAAGTGATATATGTACAGGGTCAATTGGAGTGTACCCCAGTAGCACATACAAGCTTCGGTAGATGCAAGTGGTTCTCAACAGGCCTTGCTTAGTAGTAGGGGCACCCCTAGGGGGTTGCAGTTCATACTAAACTTGATCTTAGCCAATAGCCTGGGAAGTGATTAGCCTTTAAAAAGTCCTTTGCATGCCCACCACAGAAGGCAATGATATAATGGAGGTAGGGTGAACCTTTGGTCTCTTTTCTTCTGGGTGCTAAGCCTCCAACCCAATAGCAGCAAGCGGGTGAAACCAAATTTAAGTGATGATCCTACAAGGCCAAGCAGAGGGTACCCCAGAAGCAGGGTCGGTGCTAGACTATTTTGTGCCCTAGGCAATAGCCAATAGCAGACCAGAAACCCCACCCATTGAGCAGAGAAGCGAACCTGAGAGATAAAGTTTCCTCTCAGTTATGCTCCTCTGCTCAGTGGGCAGGTGTAATAGCCAGCCTGCTATTGGCTTTTGCAATTTGAAATAGACGGGAGGCGCCGTGGGGGGTGAATGGTCAAGGCTGCGCCCTAGGTAGCAGTGCGCCTTAGACCGCATTGCGCCCTAGGCGTTTGGC